GCCGCCCCCGCGGGGGTTTGGCGCCCTTTTTCGGGGCGGCCGCCCGCCGGAAACGCGGCGTCGGGGCGGCGTCGGCCATCGCGTGGAGGGGTTCGCGATCGCACAGGTCGGGCCACGGGAAGCGGCCGATTCCAACCAGAAGGGAGAGGTCCGATCGCAGCTAAAACAACTTTGGGAATACCGCGCCTTGGTTGGGACCGGATGGAGAAGAAAAGGGGTGAAAAGCGCCACGCGTTGGGGGTTTAATGAGGGGAAAGCCATTAACAAGGCTCCTAAGGTGGGAAAGAATACAGCACATCGGGTTGGGGCGGTTGTCGGAATAAGGAATCGATGTTTAGAGTCACAAGAGCATAAAAAAAGGGTAGTCAATCACTCTGGAAAGTAAAATGATAGCAGAAGATAATAATTAGAATACTGGAGGCTCGAAAAGCGCAAACAGAAAAAAATACGTTGAAGTTTCAGTCGGTGATTACAAATTCCGCATTCGCGTTAAATTCGAAGGCTGAGGGACACGGTGTATGAAAGTACCGCTATTATTAGGATAAGAAATCCCATCGGTGGGGCCGATTCGCAAAGACGTGGGGTTGAAAGGGAATTCCGTTGGGGATGGCAATTGTTAACGCACGCGAGACATGGTGCGAGGCGCCCACGCCAATCAATAAAAATCACTTTAGTTTCCTTCCTTTTCGTGTGGGGTTCGACCGGGTTTTATCCGAACTACGTCTGAGGGAGGGCCCACAACCCCTGGGGGTTGATGGAGGCCTTTGTGGGCGATTTCGCCTGGTCCGGTCGGGAAGGGTTGGAGCCGTTGGCGCCTCCGCACGCGGCGGCTCCCGAGAAGGGGGGAGGGGCGAGGGAACGTTCGCGCAAAGGGGCCCGACGCGAGGCCGTTTGGACGGGGCGGGCGATTGACTCCGCCGGCGCTTCGCGTTTTGATTCCCGTCCGGAGGGGCAGCCGGGGGGGGGTTCGCCGTTTGGTGGCGTCGGAGCGCGCGCGGGAGGTCGAGATTGGCGAGCCGCGCGTCCGCCTCGATGGCGGCGT